GATATTAGAACTTGACGTGCTGTTGGAGTGTGACCAAGCTAACATTTATGAAGTGCCTCAAGGAAAACCGGTCAGCCGGACTTGAGTCCTGGAGGTAGGAAGTATAGCGCCTGTACTCTGAAGGAAATGAATATGATAATGGTATACAATACCGACATGTTGATAAGACACATGTGCAGCAGTTAGGTATCTTTATTCTGAAGCGTTGAACCTACACAGTAGGCTTGTTTAGTCGAATACAGAGACGGCAAGAGAAGCTGTAGATGTAAGGAATATTTAATCAGTCCATCGCCCTCGAAGACGTGGTTTTGAAGCAGTCAGTCCCTCAGCCTGGAGAAGAGTTCATCAGGAATGGGGATGCTGTGATTCAACGGGTAATCTGGGCTGGCATGTCTGGTACGGCAGATATTGAATGTGTTGCATTTTTTCAGGCCACCCTACCTCGGTGGGAGACGACCCGTGTGCTGAAAAAAACATACATAGTGGGAAACCTCTGAAGTGTGCTGCTACCCTGTTCTACATGATAGTTACACAGTGGGAACAAAAACCAGCTATGTTTCCCCTGTCATATTCTATCACATATATCTGGCTTCATACTGTGTTGAAATCTGTCAGCTTGAGCTGGGAGACATCAGTAGGGTAAATAGGCTATTGATGGATAAGAAGAGGGAGAAGAGAAAGAGAATAGTGAGGTAAACAAAAGGAGAGGGAAGAGAGAGCGAGCGAGAAAGAGAGGAGTAAGGCGTTGGAGAGAAGGAGGAGGGGTGGAAGGTAGATAGAATGGATGGGGAAGAGACGTGGATAAAATAAAATGGGGCTGGAACTCATGGTAATAACACAGAAATACAGAAAGGTAATGAAAGAGGTTTACAAGAAACCCAAACGATATGGAGGAAAGAGGTAGTGAAAGGAAAGGAAGGAAGATGGAGGACAAACCAGAGTGAGATGGAGGATATGACAGAATGTGGGATGGTACAAGGCACTCAATGGCTCCCTCTGGAGCAGTTTCTTAATGTAGCTGTTAATGAAGGAGTGAGTGAGTGTGTGTGTGTGTGTGTGTGTGTGTGTGTGTGTGTGTGTGTGTGTGTGTGTGTGTGTGTGTGTGTGTGTGTGTAAGCGCTTAATTAGTGACCGTGTTCCACCAGGCTTGTGAGGTGCTGCTGTGCTGACTTATTGGCTAACATTTTCAGTTCTGTGGCGAACTTCGTCCTGGATGACCATACGTACGTTTAATATTGATAACCTTTAGCTTAAAATTATCCTAGGTAAAATATCCTGACAAGTATGTCAGTAAGAGACAGTGTGAAACGTTCAAGAATTAAACACTTTTGCAATATTTGGGAATCTTTATTGTGGAAACGTTTCGCCAGCTAATGGCTTCTTCAGTCCAAAACAGAGAAGAGCGGGAGAAGTTGAGGAGTTTTCTAAGCCATTTGCATCACAATATGAAAAGCCGTTAATTTCATATTGCGTCTTATTCGCGAACTGTAGCTCGGGGCTTAGAGTGTGTTGTGGGCTACCTGTTCCTGCCAGTGTTGTGGGCTAGTTGTTCCTGCCAGAGTGTTGTCGGCTAGCTGTTCCTGCCAGAGTGTTGTCGGCTAGCTGTTCCTACCAGAGTGTTGTGGCTGAATTGTGAACTCTTCCAGTCATGGTGTTGTTGGTTGTAAATTGTTCCAGCCACGGCGTTGAGGGTTATAAATTGTTCCAGCCACAGTTCTCAGGGTTATGTTGTTCCAGCCACAGTTCTCAGGGTTATGTATGAATCGTTCCAGCCACGGTGTTGTGAGTCACTTGCGAAATGTTCTAACCAGAGTGTTGTAGATAGGCTATGAACCGTTCCAGCCACGGTGTTGTGACTTACGTTCTTCCTGCCTTAAGTAATATATTTACAAGAGAGAGGGAGAGAGAATGGAAAGGCTGTTTGCCCTGCCTCTCATCAATCACTTTCTTGCGACACTATCTTCCAGGAGTATGCGACGACAGGTTACATTTGCTGCCGGGAACACACGGTGATGATCACCAGGCGTCGTACCTAACACAACTAGCGTGATGATGGCTGTAAAAAAAAAAAACAAGATGCAACGATGAAATAGATTTTCCTAAAGGAATGGAATCTGCGATCTTTTCCTTCTTTCTTATGTTCTTACGTTCGAAGCGGCATTTAGTGAACCTTGTAAACATGGCGGACGGAAGACAAAAGTATTTTTTCTAATTCTACAAATTGCGACATCTATAAAGTATAGACATCTCCAGAGAATACTAGAAGGTCAGCTTATTGTAACAGTTTGTCAGAGAATTTTCTAGTCTAGTTACCCTTTAAAATTAAGTCAGAGAATTTTCTAGTCTAGTTACCCTTTAAAATTAAGAGGCTTTTCAATAGCCCTTTGGGATTACAACTGGTTTAATATAAACCAACTAAATAAAAGCTTAAATGTTTAATAACAAAGGTGTCTAGGTGATAATAATTACACTTAATATAGTTTTTTTTTTATTAATGCATCGGCCGTCTCCCACCAAGGCAGGGTGGCCCGAAAAGAAAAACTTTCACTATCATTCACTCCATCACTGTCTTGTTAGAGGCGCGCTTACACTACAGTTATAACACTGCACTATTAGCACCCCTCCTTCATATATCTTGTAATATATCTAATTATACTTGGTACAACTTAATATGTATCATCAGGTGCGTTGCTATGAGATTCACTCAGTAATATAAGATTAATATAAGTGTGCATGTGTATATATGTGTATGTGTTCGGTATTACTCGGTAAGACTCGGTAAGACTCGACTTAAAATGTGTCTGACAACAACAAGTCCCTAAATAATCTAACTTCTCAACCAACAAGATAATTAAACAGCTTGTTTGAACAATATGACTAACCATTCGCCAAAAAGCAATAGTGTACGAAGCAGCAGATTATTATAATAAAAAACAGGCGCTAAACCACAAGGGTCATACAGCACGGCTCGAAGCAGCACTGCATCAGGCAAGGAGACAAAGACCCTAGCTGGGGGACCATCAGCAAATCCCACCTGAAGGCATAAAACTCCCTTATTACTGAAACTAAGTTTAGCAATCCCAAGCGGACAGGTAGTTCACAAGTGGTGGCAGCCAATCAAGACTTTCCAGCTGCAAACACAATGAGAAGTGCGGTTGTTACAGCCTACCTACATACATAACCTAATATAATAAGTGAAATAATATATAATGCATGGCATTTTCATTGTAGCTATTAGTGAAAACAGCAATATATAATTATACGGAAGGTAATACATATAGAAATATATTCATCGGGCCCATTTCATAGGTCGCAATATCTAACATCTTTAGAAGGAGAGAGGAATCGTCCCTCTCCTTGAGCAGGCATTACTCTCCTGGTTTGCTCCTTCTGGTCAACGGAGAGGATTGCACAAGGCAACACATCTCTTGCCTTCATTCGAACTGCTGAACTTGCGGGTTCAGTAGACCGTTCTCTACCGGGTTCAGTAGACGGTTCTCTACTTGGTTCAGTAGAGCGTTCACTACCTGGTTCAGCTTCACTGACGATCAGAAGGCGTATCACATTCAGTAAATGTTCTGTTAGTGGTTCTTCTCCGGATGTACTTTACCTACGTACATCACTGGCTATACCTTCGCCAAGTACATCACTGTACCTGTCAAAAGAACTCCTATGTCCCTCTCTTATTCCTCACGTGACTGTTTTTTTAAGAAATTCGCTTAAAATCGAAAGATTTTTAACACAGAGATTTGGGTATTCAATTTTATTTCCAACTGGCCACAAAGAATGACCTTATACATGCTGTAACTTGGCAACTCAGTTTCAGCATCGTATTGCATCTAGATTATTGTTAATGATAGATTTTACATGATAAAATTATACTGGGAAAGAATTGGAAGGTTAGACTGTGAGATAATCTGCCGTATAGAGATTTTTTATTTTACCTAATACTGGATAATGAACTAAGCCTGATATTGTACCATCCTACCTGGCTTAAATAATAACAGAGATAAGAGGTGAGAGGGATAACTGTGTGGGAGAGAGAGGGGGGGGGAAGGAAGAAAGGAAGGAAACAGAGGCGGCTGGAGGGAGGGAGAAAGGCAGGAGACAGGCAGTGAGGAAAAAAGATGGAGGAAGGGTAAGGAGGCGAGGAAGCAGGCAGGCAGGCAGGCAGGGAGGGTAAAGAAGGAAGGAAAGAAGGAGAAAGGGAGGTAGGTAGAGAGGAGGTGGGAGGGAGTGAACAAAGACAAGGAGAGAGCCGGGGACACCAGCCAAGGCAATTAATTAATCCAGTGTTTGGTTATGTCTGGCAGCTCTTGTGTCCCACCACGGTGTTGACGCAAGACACTCCAAGTCTGTCTCAAGACAGGAGAGGAGACACTAGACAGTCTGGCCCGGGTCAGATGACAGGGGAGGGAGAGAGAGAGAGAGAGAGAGAGAGAGAGGGAGGGAGACAGAGAGAGAGGGAGGCAGACAGAGAGAGAGAGAGAGAGAGAGAGAGAGAGAGAGAGACTGGTCTGATACAGGCGGTGAGGGAAGCTGGTGCTGCTGTTCTAGGCTGAGCAGCATAAACACAGGAGGAGAGATAGAGTGAGGGGGGAAACCTGGGAGTTGAACATATAACTGTACGTTCCTGTTGTAAGGTGAGCTTTAAGCCGCCCACACTCTTACCTCTCCCACGCCCACACCTCTCTTACTCTTACCTCTCCTACGCCCACTCTTTCTCACCCCTCTCTTACTCTCTACTCTTACATCCCGACACACATTGTGCCCCCGAAACTGCAAGTTAGTGCACGACATATCCAGCCTGTGGACGGCAGCACACAAGCATATGGATATACAGTCTTAGCATGAGTACATCTGGATGTATATCAACAAATTATATCTTATCTCTTGCAAGCAAGCACAGTATATTTGCTTAATATGTCTGGTATGTAATTTTCTTTAATAAGATACCTTGGTGGTATCATACGTTATTGCACTGCCTCTATATTCCACAGACACATAGTGTTCAAGAAATGGACCATAAAGGTGACCACAGACTTCGTTGCATTTGGTTTGATCATCGTCTGTGTGAATGGCCAGCTACCAGAAGCACTTGCAACTCAGCCTCAGCTTGGCAACTACATCATCAAACTATTTACATTGCAAGTTGCTCGTCTTGCATTATCTCCGCTTTGTTATGCACTCACACCTCGGTACATGTTTTGTTATGCACTCACACCTTGGTACATGTTTTGTTATGCACTCACACCTTGGTACATGTCTTGTTATGCACTCACACCTCGGTACATGTCTTGTTATGCACTCACACCTCGGTACATGTCTTGTTATGCACTCACACCTCGGTACATGTCTTGTTATGCACTCACACCTCGGTACATGTTTTGTTATGCACTCACACCTCGGTACATGTCTTGTTATGCACTCACACCTCGGTACATGTCTTGTTATGCACTCACACCTCGGTACATGTCTTGTTATGCACTCACACCTCGGTACATGTTTTGTTATGCACTCACACCTCGGTACATGTCTTGTTATGCACTCACACCTCGGTACATGTCTTGTTATGCACTCACACCTCGGTACATGTTCATCACTGAGCCTTAACCTATAAGAATAAGGGTAAAAGAGCGTTTCATTGAAATTTTAAGAACAGAGATTAGCAGAAAAAGTGTTTCACTGCCTCAAAGACTATCAAAACAAATGAAGACAGGAACGAGAGAACAACGAGTAGCGAGAGAACAACGAGTAGCGAGAGCAACGAGTAGCGAGAGCAACAAGTAGCGACAGCAACGAGTAGAGAGAGAAACGAGTAGAGAGAGCAACGAGTAGCGAGAGAATAACGAGTAGCGACAGCAACGAGTAGCGACAGCAGCGAGTGACTCTGTATTAGGAGCTATGGAGTAAATAATATAAGTAAACAACATAAAAGGAGAATTTCCTACGGGATACCGAAAGCGTAAAATTGATGAAAAAATGCGTAAGAAATACGATAAGAGATATAAGCTGCATTTGTGGTTCAACAAGTGGCTACTGAAGATACTTTAAATTTAAGAACTTAAAACTGAGAAGGCGGAAGCGAGAAGCAGAGTACAGGAGAGAATTAAGTAATTCCAGACTAGTTAAGGAGCTGATGGGAGTTAAACACTTGGAATGACTAGAGGAAGTGAACCACGTACCATTCCATTTTCAAATTCTGCCCTGTAGGGCAGGTCAAGGACCGGGCCGCGGGGGGCGCTGACCCCCCGGAACGCTCTCCACGTAGGGCGTGTTTATTGTGCCGTGGCGGTCATCGTGCCGCCCTTAAGACAACATTGGGCAGTGGCATTCATACTAACGTGAACATCCTGACCCAGTTTAAGTAGTGGGCATCGCCACTCGTCCTATGAGTGAACCACTTTAAAAAAAAGTAGTGAATTCCATCCAGGATAGTTGACACACTATCGCCGATATCAGCTCCACTCTTGGCTGTTCTTCAGGAAGCAACGAAACAAGGGAGAATGCAATAATGGTCGTAACAGATACCTGACATAAAGATATAAATCGCATCATTGTATCATCCTTCATCATTGTATCGTCCTCCATCATCGTGTCATCCTTTATTGTAATATCGTTTATCATTGTATCCTCCATCATTGTATCATCCTTCATTGTATCATCCTTCATCATTGTATCATCTTCATCATTGTATCCTCCTCCATCATTGTATCATCCTTCATTGTATCATCTTCATCATTGTATCATCATCATCATTGTATCCTCCTCCATCATTGTATCATCCTTCATCATTGTATCATCTTCATCATTGTATCCTCCTCCATCATTGTATCATCCTTCATTGTATCATCTTCATCATTGTATCATCATCATCATTGTATCCTCCTCCATCATTGTATCCTCCTCCATCATTGTATCATCCTTCATCATTGTATCATCTTCATTGTATCACCTTCATCATTGTATCCTCCTCCATCATTGTATCATCCTTCATCATTGTATCATCATTGCATCCTCCTCCATCATTGTATCATCTTCATCATTGTATCATCTTCATCATTGTATCATCCTCCATCATTGTATCCTCCTCCATCATTGTATCACCCTTCATCATTGTATCATCATTGTATCCTCCTCCATCATTGTATCATCCTTCATCATTGTATCATCATTGTATCATCCTTCATCATTGTATCATCTTCATCATTGTATCATCCTTCATCATTGTATCATTCTTCATCATTGTATCATCATCATTGTATCCTCCTCCATCATTGTATCATCCTTCATCATTGTATCATCTTTGTATTATCTTCATTGTATCCTTCATCATTGTATCATCATTGTATAATCATCATTGTATCATCCTTCATCATTGTATCATCCTTCATCATTGTATCATCATCATTGTATCCTCCTTCATCATTGTATCATCATTGTATCATCCTTCATCATTGTATCATCATCATCATTGTATCCTCCTTCATCATTGTATCATCATTGTATCATCTTCATCATTGTATCATCTTCATCATTGTATCCTTCTTCATAATTGTATCCTCCTCCATCATTGTATCCTCCTCCATCATTGTATCATCTTCATCATTGTATCGTCTCCATCATTGTATCCTCCATCATTGTATCATTTTCATCATTGTATCATCTCCATCATTGTATCCTCCATCATTGTATCCTCCATCATTGTATCATCCTTCATCATTGTATCATTCTTCATCATTTTATCCTCCATCATTGTATCCTCCATCATTGTATCATCCTTCATCATTGTATCATCCTTCATCATTGTATCCTCCTCCATCATTGTATCCTCCATCATTGTATCATCTTCATCACTGTATCATCTCCATCATTGTATCCTCCATCATTGTATCATCTTCATCATTGTATCATCATTGTATCATCTTCATTGTATCATCCTTTATCATTGTATCATCTTCATCATTGTATCCTCCTCCATCATTGTATCCTCCTCCATCATTGTATCCTCCATCATTGTATCATCTTCATCACTGTATCATCTCCATCATTGTATCCTCCATCATTGTATCATCTTCATCATTGTATCATCATTGTATCCTCCATCATTGTATCCTCCTCCATCATTGTATCCTCCTCCATCATTGTATCCTCCTCCATCATTGTATCCTCCTCCATCATTGTATCCTCCTCCATCATTGTATCATCATTGTATCATCCTTCGCGGATATTATAATTTCTGAGAGTGACATCTATCGGGTGCGGGGTAAACCTTCAAGCTGACGTAATTTAAGTCTTCAAAAGAACTACGTGAAAACAAAATAAAAATGTTTTTTTTGAGAACTTGTCTGAAACCGAGAAGTGATGGGGGGGCGCTGCCCCCCGCGTCCCGCTCCAGGACCAGGCCTTAATCGCACCAGGAATTAAGCCCATAAGATTAGGAAACCCAGATAACTCATCATTGGACTGACTGTTATGTTTGTGCAGAGCGTTAAAACCGTGAGGAATATTCAGCGCAAGGAGGTGATGGGGACTCGAAACTCCGTCCCGAGAAATACAGTGATACGCTACTCTCCCTGCCAGGCATTTCCTCTCATCATTTTTAAAGAGATTGGATAGGGTCACGACATGAAAGGTACTCATTGGACGTGAAAAATGGACACACATCAGCTGGATGAGTGAGCTGGGACTAGGGCGATGGGACACAGATGGATACAGTTAAGAGTATGGATCTTTGAATACATATAAGATACATGTAGCATCTTCGGATACATGTAAGATACATGTCGCAGAATCATCTTCGGATACATGTAAGAGACATGTCGCAGAATCATCTTCGGATACATAAGTTCACAAAGAGAACATGTCGCAGAATCATCTTCGGATACATGTAAGAGACATGTCGCAGAATCATCTTCGGATACATGTAAGAGACATGTCGCAGAATCATCTTCGGATACATGTAAGAGACATGTCGCAGAATCATCTTCGGATACATGTAAGAGACATGTCGCAGAATCATCTTCGGATACATGTAAGAGACATGTCGCAGAATCATCTTCGGATACATGTAAGAGACATGTCGCGACAGGAAATAAGGACATTCGTTCGGATACATGTAAGATACACGTCGCAGTATCATCATCTTGGGATACATAAATAAGACACATGTGTGTCTTTATTATCAACATATTCACCTTTCACGGAACATGAAGTTGAACTCTTCTCAAGGCTGTGGGACTGACCACCTCAAAACTACTATTTCAAGACTGATGGACTGATCACAAAACACCTTTACTTCTCCACTGCTTCTGCTGTCGCCTGTGCATGTTGACTGGTGTGCTAAACCCGGCTGGGGTAGGCCTGTGGATGCTTAACCAGTGCACCCGTCATCTGATGAAGACCCGTGTTAAGGGAGGCTCTTCTCTTTCCTGACGGACAAAACACCGCCCCCCACGAGAGGCACTAACAGAGGAAGTAGTGGGGACTGATCCCCCCCCGACACACAAGTATTCAGAGATAGATATGACAGACTTCATATCTACATTCCTTGCACTCTCTCCCTTTTTCATATCCCTCCTTTCCCTCTCCCTCGCTTCGTTCCAGGCTCGTATATACTTCCTGTTGCCTCTTTTCCCCTCCACCTTCCTTTCACCCTCCTTCACTCCTCATTCCGCTTCCTCCTTCCTTCTGTCTTCTATCCTCCAGTGATGCTTCTCATATCCTAATTCTTCCTATCCTCACCCCTCATACTTCCGTTTATTATATTTCTCGTCTTACGAAATTATGTTTTCGATTTAGTAGGAAGATACTGAGGGAGAGAGGGAGAGAGAGAGAGAGAGAGAGAGAGAGAAAGTGATGATAATAGCATAAACATGGTAGGTGGGTGGCATGTTTGCGTTAGTGAGGAAATATAGTTCATGATCTAATATACACGTCCTTATCGTGTCTCTCTCTCTCTCTCTCTCTCTCTCTCTCTCTCTCTCTTCTCCTCTCTCTCCCCCTCTCTTCTCCCCCCTCTCTCTCTCTCTCTCCTCTCTCCTCTCTCCTTCTCTCTCCCTCCTCTCTCTCTCTCTCTCTCTCTCTCTCTCTCCCTCTCTCTCCTCTCTCTCTCTCTCTCTCCTCCTCTCTCTCTCTCTCTCATCTCTCTCTCTCTCTCTCTCTCTCTCTCTCTCTCTCTCTCCTCTC